GGAGTTTTTCCAACTAGCATTACATTCAAAACATCGATAAAATGCTTTTTACGCCTAAAGAAATTACTTTGTATGTTGGGAATTTCTCCTGCCAAAGTAATCATACCCAATTAACCTGATAGGAATTAGATTCAATTTCCACCAAATCAGTGAATCGCAAGAATAATTTGGGAAGAAGAACACACCATGAAACTTTTTATTGCAAGAAATATGAAAGAAAATAGTTTGATACAATTGGATCTTCAATTGGAGAGGAAGATCTAGCTCTCCCAAATTAGTAGCCGCTGGCTAGAGCTCTCACAACTTAAGAAACCCTAATTTAAGCAAACACAAGCATGAAGAAGAAAAAAATTAAACCCTATGAACAATCTATTTAAAGCATAAAATTGTCATAATAAAATACCAAAACACCCCTTTCTTTTTCTCTCCTAGCCGCTCCCTTCTCCTCTTTCAAAATCGTCCCCGGGCCCCACCCCAAAGGGGGGTGGGATTACTACAAGCGGAATTTCTGCCTGCTATATACGATTGCCGGTCCAGGCTGGATGGTCCAGGAGGAATCAGTCTAGCATAACCAAATGTCGGAGTAGTGACACTAGTTCCAATAAAGAGTTAAAAGAAAAATGGTAGTTATTGCATCAGGATCCAAAATTTATAGAGGCTTGTTTTAGATATAACCAACTACATCATTTTGTGAATAAGTGACCTAGTAGATATTTGCACAAAGAAGATACTAAGGATGTGTTGACCTCTAACCACCAATCCACTACCCACGATCTTATAACCTCCCTGCTCATGTAACTCCCTCATACGGTAGTAGAAAAAACCAAACTCCCTTCCTCTCATTCTCTATTTGCCGCATGCAGGAACAACCCGAAGGCCCGCTCCCTCTTGACTTCTCTAGTCGCACGCAGGAATCATCATAGGAGCTCTCTTTCTCTCCCTCTTGACTTCTCTGTATCATGTGCAGGCAAGAACCCCATCCCGCTCGTTTCTCTCTTGTTCGCACAATCCCGTGCGCAGGAACCCCAGCCCGGGCCGCTCTCCTCTCTCTCTCATTCGAATGACCTCGCACGCAGGAACCCCCACCGACACCACTTCCTCGTCTACCTCAGCCGCACGCAAGATTTTCTATCGTTGTCTCACGGACGCAGTAGCCACACTTGACCCTGCTTGTCCCCCTCTGTGATTCGTCCTCACGCACAAGCGACCTAGACATGGCCGCAACTATGACTCGGTCGACGCCTCAGCCGTCTGTCCTCACTGGTGTGTCCAGCCTCCTACTCCAATGTTCGACTCAGCCCACCATTACTCAATTGCTCAACTTGATAGATCCTCATCCCATTGCCATCATCATCGCTCTTTCCACACTAAAATATTTAAATTTGGTTTTTGGATACATGCATGTGTTAAAATCCAAAGTAATAATGATGTAGAACGGGGTCGTTGGCTTTGCTTAGGAACTTGGAAAGCTTCTAGTGGAGGAATTCCCATGTGATGGACTTGGAAGAGTCGGCCAGCAGCAGGACATTTAATCCCAAATTATTCCCTTCTCAACCTAGGTAAGTAATTAATGTCTTGAGTTTCAGGTTGCTGGAAGATCAAACCCAATAGGAAAATGGAGGTGGAGAGGATAATTGGGAGAGAGGGACTTAATTTTCGGTTTTCAAAATTGAGAGGGGGCAGGTGAGAGAACTGTTAAGGAAAGGAATTGAATTCCCTTGAAAGTTACGGCTAGGAGAGTGATGGAAGAAATAAAAATTAATGCCAAGGAGATTGGTGGGCTTAATTTGAAAATTGATTTCAAATTAAGAGGCAACATTAATGCTTAATTGGGGACTTAATAGGGTAATTAATGCTGGCCCAAATTAATAAATTAAATTTGGGAAGAAAGATCTCATCCCAAATTAATTTAAAATTCAAAAGCTATGACTTGGACAGTTTCCAAAATTAGGATCTCCAATTTAAGCAATAATGTCAAATTCAAATAAATCATTTACAAACTTTCCAAATATAGACGTTCTAATTTTGGGAAGAATTTGAAATTTGAATTTCAAATTTCAAACCGTCATGAGCGGAGAGGAGGTGGGTGGACGGAGGTCGGGTGGTGATGGAGCGGCAAGGTGGGCGGTCGGAGGTGGAGCTAAGGGAAAAACTTGGGTGGATGAAGAGGGGAGAAAGAAGATGAACAAGAATATACGAGAAAGATAGAGATAAAACAAAAGATGCAAAGAGAAAACCACGAACCCGGCCGTCTCCAAGGTTGGTGGGTGATACAATTCTCCCTCTCCAAGGGATCTCAAATCACGAGCCCGGACCCATCCTGCGGCTGGTGACAACTTCGATTCCTCTCATAGGAATCTCACTAACGCTCTCTCACAAGAAGAACAAAAGTGTGGAAAACAATTTTTCATATTAATCAACCATCCATTACAATAGCTTAAGGCCCGTATTTATAGGCCATAACATGGGAAAATAAAAAATTACAAAAATGCCCCTTGGGCCAAAACACTCACCTAAACTATCCTAAGGGTAAAATAGGAAATACATAAAACAAGAGCTAAAATTCAGAAAATAATACATAAATGAAAATTTAAATAACGGTCGTCGATTTACGACGCCGCCTGTGATAGATGCGCCAAATCTTCGTTTTGATGTCCGCATCAAATAAGGTTAATAGTAGTGTCATGAAACATCATCTTTATTGTCTTGCAGATCAAATCTGGTTGCTGCAGAATCTAATCGATTTCCTAAAAAAAATTCTGGGAAGTTTCATTTTGAAATTTAAAAATGACACTTGCTGCCTTTACCCGAGCAGGTGGAAGGATTGAGCAAACCAAAGATCAAATTGTTAATGCCATGAAGTAATGGTTAATAATGTTTAGAACAATTGCAATCACCAGCTATAAAGCTTATTGAAATTGGTTGTATCAGTTTAATTTTTTAAATCATTTTTGTTGAAATAAAAAGGAAGCTTCATTGTGAAGTTTAAATGACATGCATAATTGAGTAAAGAAAAAGGTCAAATTAAAAAAAAAAAGGTACTCTTAAGAAATAGTTTTTAGGGTGGAGAACAACCGGAAATTTCAACGATGCAGTTTATTTAAGCTAATTTAGTGTAAAAAGATCAATTTTTTCAAAAATCAAACGGTTAAGCTATAAAGGAGCTAAACTGGATCAATTTTCTTGGCTTTTTAATCCCTTACTCATTTTGGCTTAATTTATTATCTATATATATATATATATATATATATATATATATATTCTTCACATTAAGTTGAATTATTTTTATTTGGATTATATTATACTTGAATTTGATTGGTTAGATATCTTTAAATATACTTTAGAATAAGATCAAAACTGATATTAAAATTTTTTCCATGTTTTTGAACCTTATTTCTATAAAATGGGATTTCTAGTTTGTTTTTGGAATCAATTAATAGTGATGTATGAGTGATCTCCTCTTTTGATCTATGTATGTTGAATTCTTGTAGTATGATAGACCCAATTTGTGCATGTGACTTGTTTGAAGTTGTGTACTCAAGGTTTTCTTCTATGCGCCTCCATCTATCAAATTGTAAGCGATTGACATATCCACAGCTTCAGTTGAAGGAATATGTGCTATTAGAAATGGAAGAAGATAGGTTTGGATCTTTTGCATATAACTACTCGTTTTTGCTCGAGTAATTACCTGGTGTTGTCATTGACGAAGGCCCAAGCTATCTAAAACCTTTAATTTGTCACAGAGCAACCCTTGAGACAAATTAGCAATGTTTTAAAAATCGGACCGGACCGACCGGTTCAACCGGTTGAACCGTGAACATGTCCGTCGGTCGGTCCAGAATTTTATAAAAACCGCTCTAGACATGAACCGACAATTAAACCGGTTAAGCGTTGAATCGGTGCCGGTTTTCAAAAACTGGCAAATTAGTTTAATATTATAGTGACAGAAGATATGTTTGCATGTAGATGGCTGGCGATTTATGGGTTTGATTCCAAACAAATACAGTATTTTCTTTTGAAATATGAGCTCCATTAGCATGAACACCGCTTACCCCAAATGAGGCTACCAAGTGACAAAATTGAACATCTAAATACCATATATATGGTCAAGTCAGCTTTACTACACTATACTAGATTTTAAAGGAAAGTTTTTGGAAGACTCCAAACAACTTTGTCAAGTCCTTGAAAAACTTGATGAAGTAATTGGAAGACTCCAAAAGACTGTCGAAACTGATAAAAAGTCAATGGTAATCGATATTTCATTTGATCGGTCGGCTGGCTTGACATTGTGTAAGCATAATCGATACCTAGTGGGCTTAATTTTTTCTTGCTCTCATTGTTATTACCATGCTAATATGTTGGTAAAAAATCATACCTGCATCACTTGTTTGAACTGAATAAAGGTTCTTAAATACTGCTGTTGCTTCTATTGCTAAGGCATGAAAGTATGTATTCTTTTAGACCGGTCCAGCCAGTCCACGTGGGACCCGGCCTGTGCGAAATAGGCGGCGAAGTCCGCCTCTCTTTTACGCAGCGGGCAAGCCACCCGAGTCCAAAGAGCAGATTTGGAAGGAATTTTGAGGGATTTGAGAGGGAAATTTGAATGTACGGATTATTTAGGGATTTCCTTTTGATTTGTATGCATTAAATAGTTTGTTTTCCTATGGTTAGGGCATCTGGAATTTGGCTAAAATTTGATCTCCTAGATTTAGGTTTTCTTTTGAGCTCTAGCGGCATCTAGAGATTTGGGAGAGATCAATCCTCCTCTTGAGTTGAGGATCACTTCTATTTTGTGTGTTTTTCTTCCTTTAATGATTTCTTGCAATAAAATCTACTGTTTCCCCCTATTTTCATTGGAATTTGGAAGAGTTTTCTCTCCATTTTCCAAAGATTGATATGAAATACTTGAGATCTACAAGTGATTTCTATCATATTCCTTCCAGAAAAGTATTTGGCATCCAGATATCTGCTTAACCCTTTTACCCCTGTTCCTGTTGCAGGCTTTTGCAATTTTGAAGGCTATCAATGATCTCGGCACAGAGACGTACTACATTGCAGTTCTGGCGTGGCTGCTTCTCATGATTGTGCTGGGCTACTTCATCCATGTGCTCGAAAATGTTATCGACACTATATACATTTGTTATGCCATTGATAGGGACAAAGCCGAAGTTTCTAAACAGGACATTCACGAGGTTTTTGTTCTGCTTCCTCTCAGCAGAAACCACAGGTCATCTCTAGACTCCAGAACTCCTTTCTTAGCGTGATTATGTTTTATTTCTGAGTCCTTTGCATCAGCATTTGGGATAATGAGGTTTAACGAGGTCAGTTTATTCACTACATATTTAATGATGATTAAGGTTTTGTTTGGGACGGCTTTTTTGCTGCTTCTTAAACAGTTTTTTAGTACAAAATTTTTCATTTTTGTATTAAAAAGCTGTTTTAAGAATCAGGAAGAAAGTCGTCCCAAACGAACCGACCCAAAGATAGACGATGCTTGCTTCCCAGCGATTGTATCATATGGTTTGTTCCTTCTCCATATTTTGTAGAGAATTTGTAAAATGTAATTTTGATTATTTTTATTCTATGAGGATGAATTAATATCACATTTCCTTGCGTTATGCTACTCTTGTAAACATGCTGTTTTTGCTGAATTTAGATTATTTAGATTCTTCACCTTAAAATTTGGTATATGCATTAAAGGATTCATAACATGATTATATGACAAGTTTTATACTGATTGTCGACTATCTGATTGTCAACTACCTAATGCAAGTACGCAACCCTTTATTTTTCTCGTCAAGGATTTGAAACCTGGCAACGATCCTGTTAAATGATCTTTTTTTATTAGATTTAAATGAGAATTTGACTATTAACAGAACACAATGGAGAAAAATGATTCATGTAGTTGGCCCCACGTAGTGGAATAAAAGTTTGATATTGTTGTTATTATTGTTGGTATGTCCATATATATATTTACTTGAGATGCCTCTATTGTGATATGGATTTCAATAATTTGTGTAATGTTTACCTGTTTCCAACGTACGTATGGATAAAAGACTTTTGTGATTGATATGCAGTGTTTTTTGCTTATGTTTACCTTTTTAATACCTTATTTAAAAAGGTCTCTGCCTGATTTAGACTTTTATGCAAGGTTTTGAAAATCGGATCGGACAACGAACCGGAAGGAGAGGTTCATGATTTGACCGGTCCATATGACGTAATAAATAATAACACGATTAAAATATATAAAATAAATAATAAATTATGAAATAATTCTCATAAAACTGATGTGAATATTTTTAATGTCAAAAATTTTAAATGTTGCACAAAATTATACAATTTCTATTAACTATTAATTTGATTAATTAATATAACATTGTATTGGCGTTTGATTAATTAAATGTTGCACAAAATTATACACTATTTAAACAGGTCCGGTCTGATTTTGAAAGCCATGCTTTTATGTGAAAGATATTTTGTTACTTTTTAATAAAAATTTGCATATTTATTTACTGATGTAGGTTGTAGGCTGTAGGTTTGGACAAATTATTAGGTCTGATCATCATACCTATTTTTAGATCTGGACATCCAATAAAAACTTGTCACGTGGACTGTGCTTTTAGACTGTGTTTTAGGTGCGTTTTGACTGCTCTTTACCTGCGCTTTTGACGCGCTTGACTTAAAATTCCGCAGACATGTGTACATTCCACGTGACAAATTTTTAGTGGACGTTCAGACCTAAAAAGAGGTCCAATGACGAACCTAATAATTTGCCGTAGGTTTGGGATATGACAACACCCATCTTTATTGTTAGTTTTCTGTTGGAACTTCGATAGCCTAAGGGAACCTAAAAAATCAATTAGGGTTTGTCGTGTTCTAAAATTCGCAAAACGTTGTGCACGTGTGTGATAATTGGTCTTAATTATTTGCTTTGATAGATCTGAAATCAATATAGATTAAACCAGTAAGTGTAATACATTTCAAAAATATTGAACCAACGAATTGATAGGAGGGCCTGTCAATGGAAAAATTATTAGGTCCTCCCACCTGACGTAGAGCTAAGTCCTCCCACCGTCAAAAAACTCGGTTTTTGCTCGGTTTTGCTAGGTATTATTTGATAATAACGAGGAATATCATCATGTGAAGACCAATATCGAGTTATACCGAGTTATACCGAGCAATACCGAGTTATACAAAAAAATACATAGTTTTTTCTAGGAAAAACTAGGTATTTTTTTGTATTGCTCGGTATTGTTAGGTATAGCTCGGTATAACTCGGTATTGGTCTTCACATGATGATATTCCTCGTTATTGTTTGGTATTGCTCGGTATTTGCTTGGTATTTCTCATTTTTTAGCCCGATTTTGGCGGTGGGAGGACGTAGCTCTACGTTAGGTGGGAGGGCTTAATAATTTTTCCAAATGAAGACTTCCTTTAGGACGACTTTATTGTTGCTTTTTAGTATAAAATTTTTCATTCTTTAACTAAAAAACTGCTTTAAGAATTAACAAAAAAGTAGTTCCAAACGAAGCCGAAATCTAAGACTTCTTTTATGATAGTTTTCTTTCTGCTTCTTAAAACAATTTTTTAGTACTAAATGAGTATCTTCGGTATTTGTTTCAAGTTTATCTTAACTTTTTTCTTACTTTTTTTTTTTGCGTAACTTGTTCTCTTTATTTTTCTAAAGGGAGTAATTAATAAATATGTACTTTATTAAAAATAAATTAAAAATTAACAAATACAAAATAACAAATTTTCGTATGCTTTCACCTCAAAAGACTACTTTCAAATAGTCTATGTAGAGAAAAATTTTTTCTAAAAACTTCTAAAAATGGTTCGATCTCTTTCTTTTTTCCCACAAAACCTTATAAAAAAAATATCATCATCATCAAGCCTTTGTCCCACTACGTGGTGTCGGCTCATGATTATTTGACAAGTTTTACGCTGACGATCAACTACCTAACGCAATCCTCTACTTTTCTCATCCAGAACTTGGGACCCAAAATCTTAACAAAATAAATTTTTGAGGACTGAAATTAACTAAAGAATCCTTTTTATTTATTAAAATTATATTTTGAGGGTGGGCAATAACGCAATTGCCTAAAAATTACATGAACAAATTCAATTCAAGGTGACTCAGCCCAATCCCAACCCTAAACTCGATATTGGTCTTCACATGATGATATTCCTCGTTATTATCAAATAATACCTAGCAAAACCGAGCAAAAACCGAGTTTTTTGGCGGTGGGAGGACGTAGCTCTACGTCAGGTGGGAGGACCTAATAATTTTTCCTTCATTTGAGACAATTTTTTTTATTGCTTTTTAAGTTTGTATAAAAATTTTTAATTTAAAAAAATTTTGTATTAAAAAATTATTTTAAAAAACAGTAAAAAAGCTATCCCAGATAAAATTTTAATCCAAGTAAATTTTCAGTAGAAAGATTCATAGATAAGTGCAAAACATGAGCTCCCGAAGGCAATATAACTACCAAGAGCAAAAAATTAAGCAATAAAGTCATTAGTTATCTATAACTAGCTCATATAATTTATAATAACTAAGAGTCATATATGAGATACATAACAGATGCGCTAGCGTTAGCTATTGAACATATCCTTTATAAGAAAATGTATTGGAACGGGTCTTAAACAAGTCAGATTTACTGTGACACTAATCTAACCTATCTTGCCTTAATGGGTCAAACTTTTAATCAGATCAGATTTTGAAACCTATAAATGAATTCATTTAACACATTAAGAAACTCGTTACTCAGATCAAATTGGGTCATAACCCGACCCGACCCATTGTTAAGCTCACACCCTTGCAATGACAAGAGCACAGTGGCCAATTCTGCATGATATTTTTAAATTTCTTTTCCAAGATGGTTCTGTAAAGGATCACATTGCAGCTTTGTAGCAGATTTATATATGCTGGCATACAAAAGCTTCAGCCAAATCCATGGATGATGGCTCATCATCATCCACAAGTTGTAGGACATGCCCGCCATGCCGAAGAAGAGTTGCGTCTGCTCGACCTCTTTCTATTTACAGATGTCTTTGGCCTGGCTTAATTATGCGTGTATAGCTTGACATATATTTTTTCGAGGGATATTTAGGTCAATTAAGATAAATTCATACACATATCAGATACGTAAGACTCGAATTTAAGACCTTTGGGTTGATCGTCAAAGATCCCAACAAGCAGGCCAATGTGAGCTGCATCTTGACAGGTACCAACCAGCAAACCAAGGTAAGCCAACATACTAATGCTTCGTTTGGGACGACTTTCTTACTGCTTCTTAAAACAGCTTTTTAGCACAAAAAGCAGCTTTAAGAAGCAGTAAGAAAGTCATCCCAAGCGAAGTCTAAGATGATCTGCATCTTGACAAGTATCAACCAACAGATCAGAATGAGCTGTATCTTTACGGGTACCTTTCTTATATCCCTATATCTCAATCTAACTTTGCAGAAGACATACTATTGCATGATTTTGATGGCCATCACTCATTGTTTTTGGCCTTTCTGCTCATCCTTATAAGGATGATCAGATGATGGAGACTCTAGGGACCAGCTTCCTCTGCTTTAGAGGTGGAGGCTTATCCAAAGCCTAATTTTATGTTCATTTGTCTCTCATATAAACTTAAATCAACATAGTTTTTTTTTTTTTATGAGAGATTAAAAAGTGTTGGGCCAAACATCAAATTTTTAATGAAATATAATATAGAAATATTGTTAAAATTTATTAAATGTAGGGGTTGAAGAGTTTTTTTTTTTAAATATTACAAAATACTTATGTAATAAAAGAGTAATTATAGATCATAGCTATCTGATTGTTTCAATGATTGAGAATTTAGTAATTTGCGAGCTTAGAAGGTTTTATTTGGGACGGCTTTCTTACTGATTGTTGAAGCAGTTTTTTAGTAGAAAAATTTTATTTGTTGTACTAAAAAGCTGTTTTAAGAAGCATAAAAAAAGCCGTCCCAACCGAAGTTTAAATCTCTCTCAACATTAAAAAAATGTTTAGACAGTCGTGGCTAAAAACATTTAAGATAGAAGATATCACATTTTGTTCCTATAGTGAAACTCCCAATTCCATTCATAGGTGGGCTTATTGTTCTCATTTATTGCATATATCTTGACACAATAAATAAATAAATTATTTGAAATATATACAAGATGAATTTTTATTAGGAAGACTATGATCACAATAAATAAATAATATATAATGCTTGAGGTTGGCCCAATAAAATCAAAAGTGTTCTTATGCGAGTTTAAGGTTTCGTTTGGGATAACTTATTGTTACTTTCTAAAACATCACGTTAGTAAAAACAAATTTAATTTAAAGAATTTTTGTACTAGAAAGTTGCTTTGAGAAGCAGTAATAAAGCCGTCCCAAACGAAGCCCATGAACCCATATTAAGTAGTTTGATCATAGCTAAACATGTTATAAAACTACTTGAATGATCAAATGATATCTGAATATTGCATGCTTATCATCAAAACAAAATTTTATACAAGAAAAGTCCAATGAGCTTAAGATCACTCAAATTTAATGTTATATGAAGGCACTTAAATGGGTAACAACTGGCCTATGATTTAGGAAATTAATAAGGATTGGTGTTTGAGTATTTCAACTAGAATTATTAAAATGTCACTTTAGAAAGTTAAGTATACTCATATTCTTCACATGAAAAAGATTTGAAATCGAAAAAAATTTAGATATTTGAAAATCTTCATAGTCCTATCTGATGAACGATGCTGACAATCATTGACCATCATTGCTCAAACGACTTTGCCCAATTTTCATAGCTTGTTCACCTTTGTCAGAATGTTGTCACTCGACTACCATCAATATACCTCTATGGTCCGAACACTATTGCCCGATGTCATCATTCAAATATTAATTTTTTGAAGAATTTCAACGCAGTGTCCATGATTATTGCTGACAACCATAGTTGGTTGACCATAATTGCCCAACCAATGTTGTCCAACTGCCATTGCTTGTTCGCCTTTGTAAGACTCACCATTGCTCAACTTTGTCACCCAACTACCGTTTTGGATCGTCATTATCCAACTATCATTGCTTGATTGCTTTCGCCTTATTATCATTTTTCTTGATCATTTTCATCTTCATTTATTCTTTCTTTAACATTCCCTAGTAAAGTCATAGGAAATCAAATTCTTGATATACTTTGTAATATTTTCTTCTCTATTTGAAGAAATTTAAATAGATAAATAATATAGTCTAATAAATCCTTCATTTAAAAATAAATAAAAATATTTTTTAAAATCAAAACAAAAATAAACAGCGCCTATAGCCCATAATTATTCCTCCTCCTAAATTACAAATTACATTAAACTCCCTTCAAAATCCAAAATTCTCTTCCTAACCCTCCCTATATTAAAAAGCAACTATATATATAATAAGCTCGCTATCTCTCTAATAAATCTTTGTAATTTGGCCCAAGAACAAGGGCATAATTGGAACCCCATCTTCTTATATCTTTCCCTTTCCAAGCTACCTTCTCCTTTCCCCAAAAGAGAGAGAAAGAAATACACAGAGAACAGAGCAGTGAGACAGAGAGAGAGAGAGATCATGGCGATGGCTTTCAAGATGGTAAACTTCCACAGAATCAACATACAATGATCTTAGTATTGCTTTGTGCTGAATTGTATATATAAACTCCTTCAATCAATTTGATGCAGGCAACTGAGGGGATGAATGTGAGGGAGGAATGTCGCAAATCCTTCTTGGAGATGAAGTGGAAGAGAGTACACCGTTACATTGTCTTTAAGATTGATGAGAGCACTAAGGCGATCATGGTCGACAAGCTCGGCGGAGCTGCCGAGTGCTATGCCGATCTCGCCGCCTCCCTCCCCGCCGACGATTGTCGCTACGCCGTCTTCGATTTCGACTTCGTCACCGTCGACAATTGTCAGAAGAGCAGAATGTTCTTCATCACTTGGTACCTCCCCTTTCTCTATGCTACTGATATTTAGGCCTCACTCGATTAATTTACTAATTTCTGCCATCATCGTCAAGTGCATTGATAAACCCTAATGACTCAGTTCTGACACAGCAGCTGTAATATTTAATTGACATAAGACATGAATCTGCTTCTAAACCTGACTTTTATGAGAAATTCTAATGGAATTTGTGATTTTATTATTCGCAAATATTTAGAATCCTGACAAAAACTGAGTATTCTGTAGGGATAAATTTGAAGAAGCAATCAATTAATCTACTGGTGTACAGTGTACTATAGAACTAGTTCTTGAATCAATTGTAAACAGCTAGATCTTGTCTCCATTTTGGCTTTAATAATTCTTCATTGTGCCATAAGACCCCACACATAATATTCACAATTTCCAAAGAAGATTAAAGTTTATGGCTTTTAGGTTAAGATCAAAAGCATGTATTTATACATTTTAATGTGTTAGATTAGGAGAAAATAAATTGATAAGTTCTTGAGTTATATTTGACTCAATTTGAAATCATATCGAGCAAGCTTATGATCATCAAATTTGGCTCAGCTTGAGGTTAAGGGTCTGTTTGGGACATCTATAGTATTTTATAGAATTGATTGTGAAGTTGCTGTGAAAAAATACCGTCACAAATGAAGCCTTAGCTACTATAGTTACAGAAAGTGGCTTTCTATCATTGAAATTTTTCCAAAGTAGAAAAAACGGTAGACAAATGAAATTGTAGTTACTGTTTGAAAAACCAAACAACTAGAAAATTGTTCCAAACAGATCCTAAGTTGAATGCCTTCGAGTTGACCTTGAACTTGAGTTCGATCGACTCAGGATCATATCATTAGCAGTATTGGATGCTATTTGACCTAACAACAAGATAGAAGATGGGTTGAATGCACATAAATAAAATTAATTTCAGCAAATTAAGGGAAAAAAAGGGCAGATAGAATATTTTTAACAACTCTTGTACAATATAATTGGAATGAGCCTAATGATGACATTAACAATGACAAATATGTGTTGCTATTATTGAAGATAAATGTACAATACTCAACAGATATAAATGAATAATAATTATTAATTTATAGACTTAATGATAATGACAATGAGAACAAAGAGATTATGAATCTATATAATGCTCAAAATAAATATTAATTGTGCTTCTTCATTTTATTTTATTTTTAATTATTTTCCTTTTCAGGTCTCCTGCTGCATCAAGGATTAGAGCAAAGATGCTCTATGCAACATCAAAACAAGGACTGAGGAGGCTTCTTGATGGAGTCCACTATGAAGTTCAAGCCACTGATCCTACTGAGATGGGATTTGATGTCATCAAACAGAGAGCTTACTGATTTCTTGCCTAAAATAATCAAAAGTAATAAACCTATTTAAGGCTAAAATGAAGGATTATCTTCTCCTAATTACCAGCTAAGTACATCTTCTGATGTTCAGATTACTGTTTTTACTTATTAACTGTACTTTGTCTCTTAAGCAGAAAGAAGAAAGTGGAGAGGAGCTGATAGGCTTTCAGCCGCTTCTCTTTCTTTTCTCATTAAGGTCATTAATCTTATTTAATTATGCTTAATTGCTTCTCTTTCTCACATCTGAAACTAGCTACTATATTTCAAAAGAAATTATTCTGAAAATTAAAAGTTTAATGATTAAAATCTTTGAATTATAACATTTTTAAACGAGTCAGTTCACAAACTAACGAATCAAATTTATGTAACGAATAGTTTACCGAGTCGACTTAACTCAGTTACATTAATGAATCATATTCTTTACTTGTTCTTTTCCAAAGGCTAAATTCAATAGAAAATATTTTTTATTTTTCATATTTTGTCATTTCTATTAGAAGGTTGTGTAGAAGGAAAAAAACAGAAATGATAATTGTTTAAAATAATTAGAGAAATGATAATTGTTTAGAGAATATATAATGCACATTTGGCATTTGTATAGTCCTTAAACAAAATTTGATGGTAAGTTTCATTCAAACTTTTGAAGTTGATGGAGGTTTTGATGAATAATCAATTCTTCTTTTCAACACAAATGTTTATATGATTATTTGTTCCTCAATTGACTCAACAGATTAAAGCATATACCACATGCAATAATAATAAAAAACTAATAGATAATTATGTATAATTAATTTTTTTTTTTTGTATTATTTTGGAGAATATTAAGGTTTCGCTTGGGATAGCTTTAGATAGTGGCTGAGTTAGAAAATTTATTTAGGGGGCTTAAATTATTTTATAAAAATTTTTCATCTAAGTTAGAGATTGACATAAGCAATTTTAAAATTTTTTGTTCAATTAATATCTAAAAATATATAATATTAAATAGAAGATAGTAAACAACTTAAAATTTTATAATGTATACTCTTTATATTCTAAAAGAGTTCAATGATTACTTCATTATCAATATAATAAAAAGAAATACTACCTCTCATCACTCTTGTTTGTGCAAGCGCACACATGAGGGATGAGGCAAGGGAGGAGAAGGTTGTGAAACTAACCGGCACACCGCACACCTAATGCCACCGGCTGCCATCTGGGTCTTGTGAGGAACGTGAGGCAAGGAAGAACCGAAGAAGTTTGTGGCTTGCAGCGCTATAGGCGAAGTCGTGAACACAAAAAATAATGCTAAACCGGTAAAACCTAGGGCTCAAATGGAAAAAAAAAAAAAGTTGTATTATTGCGAAGTTTCTTAATGATCAGGGTTAAACATCTTAAGATAAGATCCTTACACCACACTTAATATGATGCCCAATGAAAGCTCCATCGCCCCATTTTTTTACAACATGCCTATCGACTTTCAAAAAATCTAATTGTCAAACTTTATATAATCCTTAGACTAACACATATGACACTTGGTGGAAAGAATACTCCAATCAAGAGAAACTAAAGAACATTCTTAGAAGCCTTCCTAAGGAATGAGATGTAAAGATTACTTTACTAATTATTTATGAATTAAATATTAAATTAAAATTAAAATAAATCAACAAAAAAGAAGGAAAATTTAATTACACTTAAATCCTAATATTCAAAAGTGAAGATGAAGTACAAGGTGGAGAAGAACTAATGCTTTAGAAAAGGGAACAATTATTACGTCCTCCGATCGGATGCAGAGGAACATCTGGTTGTAGGCAAAATCCCGCCTATACTGAGGTGTACCGAGTTTAAAAAAAAAAACTCGGTACACCTCGGTATAGGCGGGATTTTGCCTACAATCGGATGTTCCTCTGCATCCTTACACCGGACCAAATAAAAGTTCTAGAAAAGAAGCTTCAAATCCTTTCTCAAATAAAGAAAGTAATAGATTCTATACCAGAGAGAGAATTCCACTGACAAAGGTAAGAATATTTTAAATTATAAAAATGATAATGCCAATCTTGCTTTTTATTAATAAAAAATACAAGATATAATTGATAGGAGAAAGAAAGAAGTGAAAACTTGTGCTTGAGAGCAAAAGATGGCATGGAAGTTGAAAACATTGGAAAGACACATTGTATGCGCATAGAACGAGAAAGACGATAGTTTGATTCGAAGAAAATACATAATTCATTATACAAAATTGAATAACAAAAGACGGGTTTCATAAAGCTCGAATTCGCTTCGCGAACCTGAGAATGAATTTATAACAAATATTTTAAAAATATATATGAAAGTTTAGTGACATATGAAGAAAGATTATGATTTAGTGACATATGAAGGATTTCATTCATTATAAATCATTTGCATTTAGGATGCAATTAATTATGAGGGCTTACACTCATGAGAAATAAGATACCATAAAATAAAAAATAAACCGTATAAATGGTGCCATTCAGGGGGTAGGAGGAAACTAGTTTTAGTTACACATTATTATCTTTTGAGTATGTCGGTAGAATCGCTCTTTATCTTTCAAGATAGCATGATTCCCTAGTATGGGGTTCTCACCCAAAAGATAAAGGTAAATGGGGCTCAATCTATCTTTCATTTATTCTCATATTGGAGTAGAAATATTCAAGGTTGTTTATGCCCCATAGATGATATGATCCACGTTTTTTCACCTTCTCTATCTCAATATTATCTTTCAAAACCTAAAGTTCACAAAATTATGTTTGATGATTCGATTGCCAAAAATAATCTATTGAATATTAAACTTATGATTTTCCGAGCTTCAAAATAATACTCTTTCGTTAATTGACAGAAGGTTTCATAGAAGTCATCCGACAAAAGAAACTATTTTTATCATTTTTTGTCTTCCCTTTTATAAGAAGAATGACCACATTGACTACCATCAAATGCTCAACTCTTAATTCTATCAACCAATATTTGTCTCACACAATCAACAAACATTCAATGATGAATATAGCCCATCATGGCGTCATCCAATAAATGCGATCAACTACAACATTACAAACTTCTTCCGATGATGTTGCCATCGCAAGATTAGAGGAGCAATTATTACATCCGGTGTCCGAATGCGTTCAGAGACCAATAACCACGTATAGCTATATATATATATATATATATTGGCTCTAATAACATAGCCTCATAGTTCTTCCTGCGGCCTGCAAGTGCAAGCCTTGAATCAACTAACGAAATTTTATTGAGTTAAGAAAAAAAAAAACCTATACGTTTTTTGAAAAATTTCTTTGGAACAAGAAAAAAAAGGTTTGAATATTTTAAATTAAAATTAATTAAAATGAGTTTCATAATATTAATTTATTTGAAAATAAATATAACACAAAAAATAATTAATAAATCATGCAAAACACTCATCAAATAATTCTAATGACCATAAAATTCATCATAACCCAAATTTTTTCCAAAATGTATTTCAAAACACCATAGTTTTTACAATCAATAAATGACATATTATTTCATAAATTATCAATTCTTATAATTTTTATTTTATTAGCAAATCTTCACCACCAAATTTCTCTACATCAAAGTTCCAATTCATATAAGTATAATAGATGTTATGATGCCATCTCAAGCCCATATCAAGGCTCCGTTTGGGGCAGCTTTCTTACTACTTTTTCAAACAACTTTTTAATACAAAATTTTTTTGAATTAAAAATTTATATGCTAGAATGTTATTTTAGAAAGTAGTAACAAACTGTCCCAAATGAAGTCTAAGGCTTTGTTTGAGTCGGCTTTCTTGTTGCTTCTCAACGCAGCTTTCTCGTATAACAAAAATAATTTTTATACTAAAAAATTGCTTTAAGAAATAATAAGAAAGCCGTCCCAAACGAAGCCTAAATCTGATGAATAAAATTTTAGGTTTTTGGACATCAACTTTTGATCTAATATGAAATAAAAAAATAAGCAGACAATAGCTAGAAATCAAAAGAAGAACCTTTCTAGCTTTCACAAATCAACATTGTAATTGCAGGTTAACAACTAGAATATAAAATTAAAACATAAACAAGCATTAACAAAAAAACAGTACAGATGTCAAAGGAATCATGCCATATATTTCAGGAACATATTCTATTATAAGATGTTTGGAAAAGAAAGATTATTCAGTTGAAAGATTCTATGCATCAGCCTTTTTTTTGTTCCTTCAACTCGTTTCTTTTAACAAATACTTTATTAAAAGTGCTTTATTTTATTAATCCCTAGAACATCACTGTGAATTAAACTCAAATTTAAGGAAAAAATCTGTTTCTTATAAGCTATAAAAGTAAAGAAAATGAAAAAAAAAACAAATCTTTGCTAAGCCTGAATAAGATTAACAATACATATTCAGTTGAATTAATTACTCAAAAATTGACTCTCTCTCTCTCTCTCTCATATTCATTTGTCCAAGCCACCATTTAGGAATAGGGAACCCTTCATAGAAAATTCACAGAAAAATCAAAATAAAGTGAGAAATTTTAGCATCCAATCATTAAGAATTGAACAGTTTAAAATGAACTTCTGGAAAAATTTGCGATCGTAAAAGCAAAAGAGAGATCCATTACTCCCCTGCTAGGTTCAAACAAACACTTCCCCTCCCTCGGAATTATATCTAGAGTAATAATACGCAACCTGAGCAATATAACCAAGGTAGGAAGCAATTTTGAAATTGAAGTAAAAGATTCAAATTTTAATGATGGTCAAACAATTTGACTTGCAAATCTATCATTTAATAAACTACAAAAGGGTAGTTAGACCTATCATATGGCAAAGCATAAGGTTTTCAAGGTGAAGCAAAACTATTTTGCTAGACAAATTATTTTCAACTTGGCTAAAGTGAACCAGAATGATTTGATCAGCTAAATTGTAACTAAGAGGAAAGGCCAATTATTACAAATATGCAATACTTAACTTTCAGTATTCAGCATGCAAGTTAAGAATCAATAGCATAAAGGGAAAGTACCCTCAGTAGGCTGCAAGAGTGGGAAAAATTGGAAGGCCGCATAGAAGCATAATTAAGACTGAGGCTTCGTTTGGGACAGCTTTCATACTGCATTTTAAAATGACTTTTTAGCATAAAAATTTTAAATTCAAGAAATTTTTTATTAAGATGTTGTTTTAAAAAGCAAGAAAAAAGCCGTTCCAAACGAAGCCTGAGAATATGATTGGGGTGGGGGTATTATGATATGGGATTTATGGAAGGGAAAGTACCTCAAATTCATGCTGATGCCCAAATTAACAAATTCACTCACTATCAAAAATTTGATACTTACGCTCTCAAAGTGGAATTCATCATCCAAAAACTAGCTTTTTTAATGAAATAAAGTTAAAAAAAATGAAATGATTAGGTGGCTTTAAGTCAGTTAATATCTAAAAAATGCAAACTATAGTGTCATGAAGAGTAAAAGAAGGCAAAGGCAAGAAAAAAAGTAATGGAAAAACCAACAAGGATGATTCTACTAAAAGTAGTGAACTCTATTCGGGTAATTCATTACAGTTAAGGATTACCAGTAAATTTTCTACTCCTTTGATGTAATGACCAGCAATGCCAAGGAACCAATCAGAACATACTGCAAGAGAGTTTAGCAATAATTAGCACAAGGACAACATAAAAATGTCCATTAGCAACTCAATTACGAAGAGTTTGAAGAGAGACTTGCTTTTGACATAATTTAGACGCTAAGCCTCTGGAATTCAACAATATCAGGTAGAAGAAACAGCCGGTTTATGAATATTAATGGGAAAAAGGAAGATCCTGCATTGAACTAAGGGCCCATTTGGTTTCTTATACATTTAGAAAATGATGACTATTTTCACTTTTCACTCATTTTGTATATGAAAAATCAAATCATTACATGTGAGAATTTTGCGAAGTTTAAAATTCTGGTTGCTTTCTAATAACATGCAACCAAATGATGGAATTGAGCAAATTTCATCATTTTTGTTAAAATACATTTTCTATCTACAAGCAACCAAATCAACCATCTCTTCGACAGCAAATGCTCAACAATAACATCAAGCCTTTATCCCACTACGTGGGGTCGGCTACATTAATCATTTTTCTCCATTGTGTCCTATTAAAAGTCAAATTCTCGTTTAAATCTAATAAAGAAAGGTCATTCCTAATATTTTCTAACCAAGTCATTTTAGGTCTACCCCTACCTTTCTTAACACAAGTCAAATCTAATACCTCTACTCTCCTAACTGGGTCATCAGAAGGCCGCCTTTTTATGTGACCAAATCATCTAAGGCGACTCTCTATAATCTTATCTTCTACTGGAGCTACTCCAACCTTTTCACGTATATGCTCATTTTATATCTTATCTCTAAGGGTAAAGCCACTCATCCACCTGAGCATCCTCATCTCTGCCACACTTAACTTAGTATTATGCTTCTCTTTTAATAGCTAACATTCGGCACCATAAAGCATTTCAAGCCTCACTACCATCTTATAGAATTTCCTCTTAAGTTTGAGAGGTACATTTCTATCACATAACAAGCCCGATGCATTCCTCCACTTCAACCATCCAACTTGAATTCTGCTGATAATATCCCCATCTATTTCACTATCACTTTGAACAATAGATCCAAGATATCTAAAACGTGTACTCCTATTAATGACTTGATCGCCCAAAGTCACAATCCCCTCACTAGGTCTATTACTACTAAAATTACACTCCATATATTCTGTTTTAGATCTACTCAAGAGAAAAAACTTTAGACTATAAGGCTGACCTCCATAATTCAAGTTTACCTTCCTTAAAGTCCAAAACTAATAATCGATGTTGGGTACATAAATTTTCACTCGGAATAACTTTACAATCTTTGCAATCTAAACGATTTAATTTTCTAATAAGAAAATAGTCAATCTGGGTTGTACTATATCCATTTTTATAAGTGATGAGATGCTCATTCCTTTTCTTAAACAAGGTATTAGCAATTGAAAAATCATAAGCTAAACAAAAATCTAATATGGTCTTGCCACTTTCATTCGCGTTCCAAATCCATGGCCACCATGAATGCTTTTAAAATCATCTACCTCTCTACCAACATGTCCATTTAAATCTCCTCCAATAAAAACTCTTTCTTCAAGAGGTATCTTTTGTATTAATTTTTCTAAGTCATTCCAAAAATTTAATTTAGAACTCATATCCAAACCTACTTGAGGAGCATAAGCACTTATAATATTAACAATCTTATCATCAACAACAATCTTTAAAGCTATAATTCTATCTCCAATCCTATTAATTTTTATAACATTATCCTTTAAACTCTTATCTATAATAACACCTACACCATTTTTAGTACGACTCCTACCCGAATACCAAAGTTTAAATCCTAAACTATCAATTTCCTTAGCCTTCTCTCGAACACATTTAGTTTCCTTAATGCACAAAATATTTAACTTCCTACAAATCATAATATCTATTAATTTCATTAATTTTCCTGTAAAGGAACCTATATTCCAAGTTCCTATCCTAATTTTAGTTTCATGGACTAGCTTCTTTGCCCACATCCGTCCTTGATGTGAGAACCCTTGCCTATTTAACACTGCACCCGGGCGCGGCCCTTGCACACTTGTCACTGTATTCAGGCCATACAGCGTGTCGCTTCCAGAGGACGCCCTAGCATTAACACAATTTCTTAAAGGAGTCATGTCATTATTGTTCGACAAGTTTTATGTTGGATATCGACTACCTAACGCAACCCTCCACTTTTCTCATCCAGGACTTTGGACCTAGCAACGGCAATGTTTTCGACAGCAAATGCTCAATGGTAAAAAAAGCTTATTAAATTTTTAAGCTATAAGGATGAAATTTGGTTATCAAAGAGATGGTTCTTGTATCATCTTTAAATCCCTCGGCGAACAAGAACTAAGAAGCCTCTTGCAGTTTAAACTGAAGATTTCCATCAGCATATGTAGGAAGAAATAAATATCAAAGACTCGGACAACAAAAGCATACCTTCAAAATTGGCATATCAGTCATGATAATTGTAAAATAACCGACATATGGTAAAAACCTGCCAAAAGAAACCATCAGATACTCGAACTAGAATTTTAAAAGGATGAAAAAAAAAATGAAGGCCATAATCTAAGGTACATAATATAAATCACACATCATCTAGGAGGAGAGTGTGTTTGTCTTACCCTACAGCTCTCCCCATGATATGATGTTGCTGAAGCCAAAGCTGACCAGGAGAATATAATAGACCGGTTCTGTCATCTTCACGGTTATTATCTCCTAAAAAATAAAGAAAATATATTGATTTCAGAAAAGAACTGCAAATAAGTCAGCAAAGGAGCATAAACGTCAACGGTAGAAATATTTTTTTTCAAGATTTCAAATAACTAAATTAATCTAATCAAGTAACTTCTACAGAACATGTCTTTGTTCACAAATTTGAAAAGAAATAAAAAAACTTTTACAGCAAATTAAAGTAGTTGTTTTTTAGTACAGATCCCTATTACTCTTGAGAATCTACAGCAACATCTACAACTTGAATTGTCCATATCAGAAAACCACATCTGCAAAAAGTAATCATGGTACAGAAAAGGTAGCATGCCATCACTATTCACTAGTAGCGGTCAGTTTAAAGTTTCTACACAAAAACAGTCCAAGTCCAAAGTAAAATTTAGAAAGAACAAGCAAGACCCAAATTACTTAAGATCCATATATAAAATAGTCAACCCTAAAGTCTAAAGTTATTTATTTATTTGCTAATAAACCAACTAAGTCTTGTAACCCTAAAGCAAAGATGAACATACAAAACAGAAAGCCAAGTTAGATATCAGAAGATACCCAAATAAATTCACAGAATCACTGCATAAGAAAAACTAGTATCATGAATGTAATTTAAAATCTGGAGTTAAGGATGAATCACATACAATAAAGATGGATTCATATGAAGAAAATTTCTGCTCGATGTGCTTCATTATACTCAAGTACTTGGCAAAAAGAAAGAATTATAATAAAATTTATGCAAATGGGGACATTGTCACAACCTAATACGGATATCAGACATACCATCATCATATCATCATTATTATTATCATTAGTCAATGCTAATAAAATGAAGATGGGAAACACCAATTCTTTAAAAATATATAACACTGATACGAGATTGACACAACATTAAAACACTTTTTATTTTTAATATTATTAAACATAATAGAATTCTAAATCAATTAAAACATAATATGAGCAAAATAATAATTCTTATTATATCATAGGAGTGCTAAATCAAATTAGTAAAGCATAGCTTTGAAAAATAAAAAACAACTACTACTACAATATCAAGCCTTTATCTCGCTATGTAGGGTCGGCTACAAGAATCCTTTTTCTACATTGTATCATGTTAAGAGTTAAATTCTCATTTAAATCTAATGAAGGTCATTTCTAATATTTTCTAACCAAGTTTTTTTAGGTCTACCTCTACCTTTCTTAACATAAGACGAATCTAATACATGTACTTTCCTAATCAGGTCATCAGAAGGCCACCATTTTATGTGACCAAACCATCTAAGATGACCTCCATAATTCAAGTTTACCTTCAACTCCCACTCTAGTCTAATCAACAAGAAGAATATCATCAACAAAAAACATATACTAAGGTACTACCTCTTGCAAATGTCTACTGAGAACATCCATAACTAAAGTAAAAAAGATATGAGCTTAAGGTTGATCATTGATGTAATCCAATTGAAATAGGAAAATATTTGGTCAAAACACCTTGTGTTTAAACACAAGTAACAGCTCCTGCATACATATCCTTAATAACTTGAATGTAAGCATTATTAACCCCTTTCTTTTCTAGAACTCTCCATAGCATGTCTAGAAACTTTATCATATGCTTTCTCTAAATCAATAAATATCATAAGTAGATCCTCCTTATTCTCTCTATACTTCTCCATCAAACTTCTCAATAAATATATAGCTTCCATAGTAGACCTACCAGGCATGAATCCAAATTAATTTTGAGAAACATTAGTATAACACCGCAACCTTTGATTCATAACTCTCTCTCATAGTTTTAAAGTATGACACATTAACTTAATTCCTCTATAATTCACACAATCTTGTGCACCACCTTTATTCTTAAAAATAATCAAAACACTCATTCTCCACTCATCTGACATCTTTTCAACCTTCAAAATAATATTAAAAAGTTTAGTAAGCCAAGAAACTCCTTCATCTCCTAAGTATTTCCACACCTCTATTGGAATATTATCAGATCCAACAGCCTTTCTACACTTCATTATTTTTAAAGCTTCTCTAACTTTGATTTTACTAAAAACCGATAAAAACAAAAATCTTTATTTTCATTTAGGATGTTAAGGTCACTAAAGTAAATTGCATTCTCATAATCTTCATTGAAAAGTTTAGAAAAATATCTCATCCATCTTTGTTAAATATCATATTCTAATAAAAGCACTTTTTGATCTTCATCTTTAATGCACTTCACTTGAACTAAATCCTTACTACTCTTATCTTTTTGTTTGGCTAACTTATACATATATCTTTCGTCCTCCTTAGTATCTAATATATTATATAAATCATTAAAAGCTAAAAAATTTGCATCGCATATTACTTTCTTAGACTTCTTACGGGCCTCTTCATATCTTTTCCAATTATAAGAATTTTTACATCTAAATTAATTTTTATAACAAATCTTCTTTTTTTTAATCTTTTCTTGCGCATTTTGATATAAATCATAGCATTGATAATTAGACAAAATTTTGTTTGTGTATAAATGTGGCTTGCATGTGCCCAGAATGTGCTAAGTGCCAAAGTTCTTCGAGAAAATTAAAGATTGAGACATGCAAAATGATGCACTAGAGTTGGTTCCTTCAAGTATCGGACATGATACGACAACCCTGAGTTTGATCTTCATAGACTGGTTCTAAAGCAATAAGAATGCTTTAAATTTTCTACTAAAAACTGAATAAAAAAATATTGTGATCCCTCCATATGGTTACCCTTCATATGTATTATGTAAAACAGTTTAAATTTATCAAGTTTTGTAGCATTACTAGATTTGGGTTCTAAATATAAACTTTAAACGTGAATATCAATAGTTGTAATGAATCGCAGATAAAAATGGTAAATTCAAATGTTACAACTAAACTAGGCTCCTAAATACCAATTCAACAATGTAACTCATAGAAGTTCGTACCCTTTGTAAGAATGTCAAGTTCTTCGGTTGCTTGGCGCTGATGGACCTGCACATGCAGCTCAAAAGGTCCAGTAGAAATTGGTCATGAAAGCGAACAAATTATTCCTTGAAATAGTGCATTAACTAGGGCTCTATCTCATTATAAAAGAATACATATATATATATATATATATATATATAGAGAGAGAGAGAGAGAGAGAGAGAATAAAAGAAAGATTTTGAAAGAATCACTATATGGCATTGGAGCTTTATTGCCTTCGTTGATTTGGCAAGGAAAATTTGGGCAACAATAAGACATATAATTCGGATTAAACTGAAGAGTATCTAACAACAGCATGCTCATTAACAAAAATCTGGCACGTTTACTAGTGATGTTTGAAGTGGTTAAAAGCCTATAGACAGCTCAAATGTTATAATAAAATCTCTACTAAATAATAAAACTGAATTTAAACTAATGAACAATGAAAAAAAAAAAGGATGAAGAATTGATAACAAGCAACATAAAACTAGCATTAGAAGAGAGTGATACTTCCGTGTGATAGATTTAAATATATTGAATCTATTATTAAAAAATGGTTATATGAATAAGAATATAACTTCTAACATTTGGTGGTTAAAATAGATAAGTGTCATAGGAGTATCATGCATTAAGATGATAGCATGGAGACCAAAATGTAAATTTCATTAAGGTCGTATATGTCATATGAATCTCGATAGTTAAGAGTTTGAGCTGTTAAAAATGATATCAAAGCAATACACCAACCGAAAGATGGAACTAAGTGTCATCATAGGCCTCTTGAACCCTGTATGGGGCAAAGAGATACGTCGCGGGAGTCGTCACTTGAACTTGTAGAGGCCACCTCTAGAATCCTATCTGCATGGTGAATGATTTTTGAATAAAGATACTGACAAGGAAGTCAGTTACTTAAGTGGGGGAGATTGTGAAAATCCTTAAATAATTAAAAAAAAAAAGCTAAACTATTAAACATCGATGCGCCTTTTGCTATAATAGTTGAAATTTCATTGAGAAACTCCGCAGTTAAGCATGCTCATCCCGGAGAAAATCACTTGAACTTGAAGGGGCCCCCTCTAGAATCCTATTAGCCTGATGGATGATTCTGGGATAAAGATACAGACGAGAATATCAGTTACTTAAGTGGGCGAGATTGTAAAACCCCTTAAGTATAAAAAAAAAATTAAAGACTTAAATATCGAGGCGCCTTTTGGTGTAATGATCAACATTTTATTAAAAACTCAGCAATTAAGCTTGCTCATCCCGGAGAAATCTTGGGATAGGTGACCTCCTAGGCCCCAACAGAACATAACCGTGAGGCCCTTAGACCAAAACAGACAATAGCTCAATAGTTGAGTTTGAGTTGTTACAGGTTCAACCAAATCAGTCCATTATAATGCAAAGCAGGCGCGGACGAGTAGGTCGAGCAAGCAACGAAACAGTGCAAGTCACGTGAGTGAGCGTGATGCGGACATCGGTACAAAGATTTGGTGCATCTATCACAGGAGGCGTCGCAAATCGACGGCCATGATTTAAACCTTCAATTATGATTTATTTTTCTGCATTTTAGTTCTTAATTAATGTATTTTCCTATTGTACCCCTAGGTTAGTTTATTTGAGTGTTATGGCCCAAGGGGCATTTTTGTAATTTTCTATTTTTCTCATGTTATGGCCTATAAATAAGGACCTTGAGCTATTGTAAGGGGATGGTTAATGAATATGAAAATTTTCTGTTTTCCACACTTGTGTTCTTCTTGAGAGAGGACGAGAGTGAGATTTCTATGAGAGAAATCGAGACTGTCACCAGCAGCAGGATGGGTCCGGGCTCGTGATTTGAAGTCCCTTGGAAAAGGGCAAATGAATCACCCGTCAGTCTTTGAAAAAGTCCAAGGCTCGCGGTTTTTAATTCCTCTTATTTTCTCTCTTTCGTTTTATCTTCGATCTTCTATTTTGGTTTTTGTTTTCTTTGTTCTGTCTTTGTATTCCTCGTCGTATTACTCCTCATAGTCATCTTTCCTCCTCCCTCAACTTCTCGGCCAAACACCCCCTTTGGATGCCGCCGGCCCAATCTCTTGCCGCCGGCCACCATCCACCACCTCATCCCAATTGAAATCCTTGCCTAATTTGGGTGGACATATTGTGGGCTGATTTCAAATTCAAAATCATGTATTTTGAAATTTAAAACCTGTCCTAATTTGTGAAAGCTATTTTTAGAAAGTTTCCATTTTAAAATCCGATTTGAATTTCAAATTCGGAAGGGATTTAATTGGTTCTTTCTTAATTCCCTAACATTAAGCAAATTCAATTAAGTCCTTAATTTAAATTCATTTGAATTCCTAAATTCAATTGAATTTTAAATTCAAATCTGGGAACTTTAAATCACCTCATTAACTAATCTTGCTTGGCCGAATTTTCCTCAATGCAATATTTCTAAATCCCTTCCTCACTTATTTGGCTGACATTTACATCTCCCGTAACTCCTAAATTAATTCCCACATCTAAGGAATTAATTAAGGAATTCCCAAATCTTTCCTAGCTCCTCCCGCCACCTCTCCATCCCGTCACCTGAGCCTCAATCCAAGTCAATCCCGTGAGCTTCTTCACGTAACAGTTTAGGATTTTAATTTTATTTCCTAAATTACCTCTCAGCTCGCTGCTTCCCCAACTGTTTCGGATCATTAATTCCTACAGGAATTAATTGGAAAACCTCCAAACCTATTATTTTACATTGAAATCACGCCTGGCCTTCTTCCCCCTGCTGGCCGGAACTCCCCCATTCCGTGCACACAAGTTCCCATCCACAGATCTCTCCCAAACTCCATCTTACGGGAACTTTCTGCCTTCCAAGAATTGCAGCCAGAGAATTTCAGCAACTAGGAGTGTTTTTCCTGCAATATTGAAGCTTCAAAACTACTGTTTTATAAGGCCAACTATTATTCTCTTGATTTCTCTCTACATCTCGTGCATCCTCTCTCCTTTCCAGGGAAACTTCTCTCTCCCAATTCTTTTACACCAAGGCTAGAAAATTGCTGGAATCCTCTCCCAACTTCCTTTATTCCTCTTTCTCCCATAGAAAAATCTGAAAAATTTCAGATTTTCTGAAGGGACATTTCAGCTTTTGTGAGGAGACACTTGGAGATTGTCCACCTTCCCTAGCAAAGCATTTTTGTTCTACATCAGAGCGTGTTCGAAAGTGAAAAGCTGCAATTCCTCGTGTGAGATGACTTCATCTTGCTCCGTCCAGTTAAGCCAATTGAGAGAAAATGAAAAATTTGGAGCAATAACCAAGAGGAAGAAAAGAAATCGGGATAAAGAATTTGTTCTTGGAGAGAGGAAGGAGAGAAGGAAGAGAAAAAGGGAAAGTATATTTTTTCTGTTTAAAGTTAGCTAGAAAGAAACTCATGATTTTTAAATTATATCGAAATTAAAATGATTAATTATTCATTAAGGAAGAAGAAATAATAGTTAGTGATCGGTGAGGTTTGTTTAGACAATAAGAAAGAAAAATCAGAGGTAAATAATGCAAACTATATAAATGTTATTTCAATCATTTTATAACAATGCATCCCATGTTGTCAAAACAAACCTCAATTGAGCAGTATTGCTTTAAAAGATGTTTGAGATATTCGACGTAGTTTTAATGATGTTAAATATCATTGAGGCTAATATTAATGTTTAATTATAATATGAACATTATATTGAGCAATGTCGAATCGAGCTATAAAATAACCAAGTCAAAAGTACTGCAAGATCAAGTGTTCTCAAGAAAAGATTAGGTAAGGGTTATAATGTAAATCAAATTTAAATTAAATTTAATGTTAATGAAAATACATAAGATGAAATGTCAAACACATCAATTGACCCCTTAAGAGTGTAATCACAATACATTATTTTAAATAAGATTTTTTCGGTGTTGTGAAAATTGTGTTATTATAGGCAAATTTAGACGTTGGTGGATATGAATCCCAGTTACCTAAGCTCTGTCTGTCAAATATCTAAATTTCAATAGTCATATTGACCACCTCAGTCAGCCCATTGCTTTGAGGGAAGAAAGAAGAGGACAATTTCAATTTTATCCCAAGTAACTTGCAAAAAGTCTTCTAAAAATATGACAAATATGGTATTCCTATTAGAGATTATAGTGAAGGGTAAGCCATATAATATATATCCTTAAGGACAAGCTTCCTACATGAGATGCATCATTACTTTTAAAGCAAGCCAAAATATGAGTCATCTTAGAGAATCTATCAAACACAACAAATATGTTATCATGGCTACTACAATCCTAGACAACCAAACACAGAATGTATGGACAAGTCTTCTCAATGTCGGTGTGGTATTTACCCTTTCTGATTTTTGCTCAATAGTAGCCGCCTAAAGTATAGCACCGTACCACTAACCATAAAAAAATTCTGAGATGCAATAAAACCTAATCTCCACCAACCCAATGGTATTATCCTTTCCGAAATGGCACGTTATTCCCCCTGAATGCAATTCATAAATGAAAAAATCCCCAAGTAATAGCCTAGGGCTGCATAATTGCTTCCACATGTACAAATGGCCATCAATAACCATGAAAGAACTCTACAAAGATAAAGGCTTGTCTACATGCTCAAGATTGATAACATGAAAGTAAGACAAAGTAGGTAGACTTCCTTGAGCCTACTAAATCTAAGGAACATTGACACTAAAGATACTCTTAAAAATGTATCAACTAGCTTGTTCTCTATACCATATTTATGTTTCAACACAACTGAATATTCCTATAAGAAATCAACCTACTTTGCATGTTTACCATTTAACTTTCTTCAGGTATTTATGTATCTCAAGACATGATGATCTGAATTAAGTATTATATTTTTTGTGCAATAGATAGTGCCTCTAATATTTCAAAGATTGAATGACAGCATAAAAATCTCGATTGTAAGTAGAGTATCTTCACTTAGCTTCATTAAACTTTTCATAGAAGGCAATGAAATGGTCATCATAGCTCAAGAAGTCTCCTATACCAATACCAAATGCATCACATGTAACCTCAAATGCCTTGAAAAAATCAGTCTACCAATAGGAGATAATGTCATAAGCAGGGCTTAAAATTAAGTAATTGAGTAGGGTGTATGAGTGTCAATTTCGGGTCACGGGTCTGGTTTGGGTTGAACTCGGAACTATTTGGGTTAACCCGAACCCGAACTGTTTTTGCAAACGGGTTGGTTTTTTGGTGAACCCGAACCCGCTTCGGGTCCGGGTCAACCTGACACGACCCGAATGACCTGGGGTCGACCAAAAATTGCTAGTTTTAGGGTAAAAAAATGGGTCAATCTCCGATTTTCGGGTTAAAAAAATGATCAATCTAGGGTTTCCGGGTCAAAAACGGGTTTTCAAGTCAACAAGTCAATTTTGGGTTTTTGGGTCTACCCGAACGCGATCCGGTTTTTGAAATGGGTTGATTTGTTGAACCCGAAACCAACCCGTTTCAGGTCCGAGTTGACCCTAACACAGAATTGTTTGGTCGGGTTCGTGTCGGGTTTTCGAGTCGTGTCAAATATTGACACCCCTAGTAAGATAAGGCAAGACATAAGACTTAAAATTAAACCATTAAAATAATAAAAATTATTAAATAAGAAGTAACATACAAATATTAAAATAAGATCGTTTTTCCCACTATCAATTTAACATGAATAAGTAACATATAAATATTAAAATAAGATCGTTTTCTCCCACTATCAATTTAACATGAATAAGTAATCACTAAAATTGTAAGTTATGAACTCAAAAGTCTCATCATTCTCATCATTTAATAGGTCTTCAATAGAATCATCATTTTAGTGAATTATTTTCTCTCATCACTCATCTTCAATTGTGTCAACATTTCCTCATTTTCAATTTCAATCATCGTCATTTTCTCTAATCAATAAAAAATAATAAGAATGTTAATTAAAATATAAAAGAATCAAAATAGTCCCTTAACTCTTTATGAAACACCAAAATGATCTCAAACTATATTAAAGAACAATTTGATCACTCAACTCCTTAGTCCTTAAAAAGGAACCAAAATAATTCTATGATGGGACTATTATGATTCCTCTTTAAAGAGTTGAGAGACCAAAATAGTCCTCTAATATAATTGGTGACCACTTTGATCTTTCATAAAGAGTAAATGGACTATTTTGGAAACAATCTACAGGATTTTTAGATGCTTGAAGATGACACCAGGGAAAGGCCTATTCTTCAGAAAGATAGAGAATCATGACACTGAAGTATATTCAGATGTAGATTGGGCAAGAAACATCATTGAAAGATGGTCAACGTCTAGGTATTGTTCTTTTGTCTAGGGTAATCTTGTTACATGGAGGAGTAAGAAGCAATCAATGGTTGTTATAAGTAGTGCAGAAGCAGAGTACAGAGCTTTGGCATAGAGAGTTTATGAAGGGATTTGGAAAAAAATGGTCCTTAGTGGACTGGGACAAATGAGTTCATCTCATATTCTGATGATGTGACTTGTGAGAAAATCAGGCACTTATATCAATATAGCTAAGAATATCGTACATCATGACAGGATTAACCACGTTGAAATTGATAGGCACTTCCTCACAAAAAAGGTGACTAGTGAGACTGTAAATTGAAATACATTCCTACCAAGCAACAAACTGCAGGCATCATCACCAAAGCTCTAGATAGACATAACTTTGAAGACTTAATTTGCAAGCTTGGATTATATGATATATATTCTCCAGCTTGAGAAGCTTGAGAGGAGCATTGAATATTTGAAAGTCAAAGTTAGGAAATTTATTTTAGAAAGTATTTTTAAGAATAAGAGGAAATATCAATTATTATCTTCTCCTACAATTATGTTTTTTTAAGGAAAACATTTTTAGGAATAAAAGGAGAGATCAATTGTGATCTTCTCCTATAATTCTATTTCCAAATTTTTAGGAAAGAATTATTCTCCTATGATTCTATTTCCAAAAATTTTGGAGAGAATTAAGCAAGTTAGTTGTTCCCTCTATTAGGCACTCTTTTAGTACATATATGCAAATGTAGTACTTTTTTTTAAATAAGAAGAAGAATCAATTAAGAAATTCTTCACATTCCAATAGCATAAATGGCATCCTCTGAAAAGTAGAGTATGTCAAAAAATGTCGTATAGCTACCACTAAGTTCAAACAAGAAAATAGTTGGAATATAGACTTTAAATCAGGGGCAGAACCAGCTTCAATTTTGAGGGGGGCAAATACAACACAAAAATAATTAAATTTAAAAAAATAATAATATTATATATTTATATATTACGAAAAGTTTTTTTTAAAAAAATTTAAGCAAGAAAAATAAAGAAAAAATGTGTAATTAAACTGTCATAAAAATCATGAAAGAGAATATTAGAACTAAATGTGAAGAAATATATAGATATTTTAGGGCAAGTTAGGACAAAATAGTTTTTTAGGGGAGCAAAAATAATTTATTAGGAGAGGCAAAAAAAATTTTTTACTCTACTTTTTCTTTTTTACTCTCCTCTAAAAAAAAATTTTTTTTTTTTTTGAATGTATTTCAATCAACCTTATAAAAATTTTTTTGCCCCCCCCCCCCCTAAGAACCATGTGGTTCCGCCCATGCTTTAAAATGAGAAAAGGGATTCTCGAGTGGCTAGTCATTTCACTCGGACTTTGCACTGCCCTATCACATTTATAAGGTTGATGAATAATTTCCACAACCCTAAGTCAATGACTTCATCATTCATCTTGATGATATCATGCTATAAACATTCAATGCGGGAAGAAAACTTGGTGCACTTGAAGAAAATGTTTGACTAGCTATAAGGGCATCAATTTTGCCTGAATTTTCAAATTTAAAAGGAAGATCATACTCAATCCAGAATTCAAGATTTGTAATAGCAGGTCAAGATCCGCCCAGCTGCATGAAAGTAATTAGAGTGCCCAAGAATAAGGAAGACAAAGGATGAGTTGAGCTTCATGGAGTGTGCCAATCATTCATAATTTAGTAGAAATTTCTCCAAAGCAAGGCTTCTTTTTAAATGGAGCACTAATTTCAGATGCAAACCAGTGCTTGCCTAAGCTCAAAAATATATGGGCAAGTTATTTCTGTTGAAAAGAAAATTAAGTGAAACCGCAGCAATCTTCAAAACTTGAAGTAGATCATTCAAATATGTAAATAATATCATCAAAACATAATCAGTGGTGAGGAATATTGAGGCTACTATAAACTATATAAATCTTGCAGAAATTTCATCAGAAGTGAAAATATTTACACAAGAAAACTCGACATGAGTATATCAACATTTGATATCGTTATCCTTACATCCATCTCGCTGAAATCATCACAATACTAATTCAAACAGCCCCATGCATAAAATAGGTAATCGAGAAAACAATAAAATTCCTGGCCTCACAGGTTTGGAAATATGGTACCAAAGAAAAAAAGATGGATGCCTGCAACTCTAATGGATGAAAGCATAAAGGGAAGAAGAAAAATTACCTCAACCACGCGATGGACAATTGGAATAGACCGTCCCTGCAAATAGTAAACACCAAACCATAATATAGTTTTCTAAAAGTAGTACATATGCTCTTAAAGTAAGCAAATATGAGTGTGAAAATTCAGGGCCCCATGTTACCAAAGAGTTTCAAGGAAATGTACTACATTAAACAATAGTGATTTGACAATTCTAAACTTAAAACGGTAAAAATCTTATAAATTATATACTTATAACTGTTTTAAGGTTACAAAAAAATATAAACATTTTATCCTAATTAATATCAATTCGCCTCCCAATTGACTAAGATTTTAGTAATTGGGGAGTGCTAGTATTGGGAACTCATATGACACAACAAGGCATAACTCAATTATTGTGCGAATTATGCAAAGACTGACTACTACATCACCAATAAGTGATGTGTCACAGCTTAAAATAATGGTAGTAAGAAGTAGACTAGAGTTGATTAGCACGTCACTAAGAATGCTGTATCGCAGCTCAAACCAACTATGGTGAAAAGTGGGCAAAGGTTAACATTTTCAAATTAAGAGGACTTTTGTTACAGAAAATTTGCGACTTTGAGCTAAAAATCCTAGAGAATTAACAAATAACTAAAGGAAAGAAAAAATATAGTTTGTTAGCAATAAAATAAATGAAAAGAAGAAAAAAATTATAGGCATCAGTGAAGGTTATAAACAAGTAAATGTTGACAAAGTTTGTAGAAAGAGTGAGGATAGTAGTGATTAAAGAGTTGAAATATGATAAACTATTAAGGTGAATAAGATTATGATAGGAAGTGGATGCAATTTTAGTAAAATCAAGGACGGCATAAAAAATTTAGGAAGAACACGTCAAATTCTTTTTATTGCAATATATATAAAAGAAAACAACAAGATACAGTTGGATCTTCAATTGGAGAGGAAGATCCAACTCTCCCAAATCTCTAGCCAGCAGCTAGAGCCCTCACAAACTAAGAAATTCTAATTTCAGCAAACTCCAAACATAATCCTAAAATCATCCTATTGTTAACCTTAAATAGTCTCCCATAATTCCCTCCCAAATCATCCCCTTTTTCCTAAATAATTCTCTCTCAAATTTGAATTCAAATTAGATTTATTTTCCTAATTAATTCCCTCCCAATTATAATTAAAACTTTCCTAAATAATCCCCCTTAATTCCTCCTCCTCTTCCTTAAATAATTCCCTCTTAATCTTGAATTCAAATTAAATCTCTTGCCCTAAATAATTCCCTCCCAATTATAATTAAAACTTCCCTAAATAATCCCCCTTAATTCCTCCTCCTCTTATCCAAATAAGTCCATCTTAGATTTTGAATTCAAATTAGATCTCTTGCCCTAAATAATTCATTCCTAATTGTAATTAAAATATTCCCAAACAATTCCCCTTTGATTAAGAATCTTCCTAAACATCTCTCTCTTGATTAGAAAATTTCCTAATACTCTATAAATGAAATCGGCCAGTCCATCAGACTACAAATAGTACAACTACTCAAGTTGGATTTGATGAAATTTTGAAAAGCAAAATATCAGATTTTGAATTCAAGCAGCTAGATGTATATGACAAAAATTACAAAACAAATAAGGTGACATCAACATAAATTGATTTATAGGAATGCATGTCACACAAACATTCAGAAAGCCAAAGCCGATTTGTTAGAAGGGTATCGCAGGGATTATTGCAGCTTCCATGATAATAATGATGACGATGATGGTACCCATAAGCAAATAAGGACCACATTATTTCATTACAGTTAGCGGCAGCATAACTGCCAACTTGCCAACCACTTTCACTTATCTTCAACTTTATATGATCTGTTTATATTGGGTATACTAGCCTCTGAAAGAGACTTACCTTGATATTGTATACGACTATTTCACCAGCACGAATAGGGTCGTTGCCCATGTGTAAGAACAGTATATCACCCTGTAAAATATAGCAGAAGGCTTAAGCAAATTTAGACATAACATTCAATCATTGGACGCTCAAAAGCAGACAAACAAAAGATAATGACCAACAAAACTAAATAACTAAGAACTCAAGCAATAACAAGGGTTTTCAACACCTAAATAGAATGTATAGCACAGTCAATAATACTGTTTTTACACTCGATTCCCTGTGATTTAGTGGTAACAAATAAGCTAAATTGTGAATTGATATGATAAGAGAGAAGACAAGCCAAAAAAAAGGACCTCATATAAACTCAACTCAAAATAGCGAGGCGTTTATTAAGAAATGACACTCATAATAACTCATATTATTTAACATGAAATGATTAGTCAATGCATGCAATACACACAACATTAATCTCTTAAGTATAATTAATGAACAATAAACCATCTGTGGTTGTAGATTCTTCTTTGTTCTGCTTAGACTGGATAAGTACGTGCTCAAGTTTTGCAAATTAAAGGGCATTATGTTGCTTTTAGTGAAGGGATAAAGCAGTTCTTCATGTCCCAAATTATTTTTAGACAAAACTATCACTATATAATGGTGAAGAGTAATTTTAGCTTTTAACAAGTAGATTATTATGCTTGCTATCCTTTCAGTGATTTTCAAGTTAGTTATCCTACATCCCTTAAGGTACAAAAGCATAAAAATTAGTCGATGTGCTATCATTTGTGCAATCATAACAGTTGTTAAGTAATAAGAATCCATACTCCTAGATCACAGCTTCCCATTTGTATGCATTTGCTCTTGCAAGTAAGAACCTTTTTTTTTCCTGTCTATTGCCTTTGTTCTTTGTTTTCTTTCTCGTAGCCTTCAGCTTTTGATTTTGTTGCGATGACTTATCCTCCTATAAATATTGTTGATCAGCAATTGGGATAAATTTATTGTGCTATTTAACAAGAAGAGAGCTCTTAAATCTCACTAGGAACCTTTTGGTCTAATGGTCTTCCCATCTCCTACGAACATAAAACAACGGACTGACAAAACTCTATAATTTTTCTCCTTTTGCAAGCACAATATTTTTGGATTATATAGAAGATAGCATCCCTGCCCTACAAATATAAACTATCCAGAATTAAATGACATATAGACATTGGTGCAATTTCACATTAACATCAATAAAATCTCTACAAAAAGTAAAGATGAGACTTGAGAGTAAATTGTTGAGTTACTTGAGTATAGGATTTTAAATGTAGAGTAGTGATCAACCCCCATCTCTAAACTAAAGCTGCAGATATAAAGTTATTTTCATTACCATAACCTAAAACTTGCATCCAGAATGATCTATTTCATTTGAAGCTTAAGGTGGAACAATTCCCAAACTTCTTAACTAATATGTTGTGACGCCCCAGGCATCCATAGTGAAAGGATTCGTCGACAGTCTTGATCAACCATCACTTCTTGCTCCCTTGCTCTGACCTGAAATTGTTAACCACATATAATGAGCTTCAAAAAGCCCAGCAGGTCACCAAAGCCTATAACTAAAATCAAAGCACGGTACTGAAACAATATGCATGTCAGTCCATCAAATCCATAACAATCAGTTGCACATGATCAGTAAATCTATGCAGCAGATACGGAAAATCAGTAATCAATGCATGATAGATACAATCCACAATTATCGGTAAAAGAATCGCTAAACAGTAGGAAGAAATCCATAAAGCTCAATAAATCAGTACATACGTCAATTCTCGGAAGAATCCATAAACAGTAGAAAAATCTATATTCGGAAGAATCTCAATTAAATCGATCAGTCAAATCGATAGAGAAAAATCGTCGTCTCGATAATATCAGTTAAATCAACATCGTATCAATGGAATCAATTAAATCAATTATCTCTGGTCAATAATATCAATCGGTATGAAATCATATAAAACAATCAAACCAATACATCGCAAGAACGGTTGAAATCAAATCAATACAGTAAAACATATTCCATATTGATCAATGAATCACATGCAGCAGTTCAATACGGTGTATCAATGAAGCGATAGTATCAATGAATCAATATCAATGAATTAATAGTATCCATGTCCATAGTAACAATAAGTCAATGCAATATCGATATCCATATCAGTATCAGTATCAATGCTTAGTGACATAATGCGAATATCAATGAAATCATACAGTAATAGTAAATCCATAAATTCGTCAATAAATAAATTTTAATACAAATCCGTCGATATCAATAAATCCATGAATCCATAATGAGATCAATAGGTCAATACCGTACACATGCAATTCAATAAAGTAGTCTTACTGAACAAGTACAATCACTGGCTATTAAGGCGTTTTTCAAGTCGATGTATCGTTGTATATCCATTGTGCTGTTGTAGAAACATCCATATATCCGTTGGCTCAATAATAGAGTCGTCACTCTTTGCCCGTCGGCCGCCCGTCGGCATAATAATCTCCTTATGACTCCCAGTCGTTATATCAATGATCAATAGATGATAACACCAAATCCTTTTTAAAGGAAAGCCCGTCGGCTCACCATCCTGTACAGGTCAAGTCAATCTCCAACCAACGGTTCAACCAGTCTTCACTTGTCTTTCATAAACAATAACAATAATTCAATCATACATTCACATTCGTATGCATATCAACGAAGTATTGCAATCAATAAATTCAATTTAGCTCAATGCAAAAAAACCCCTTAAAATATCGTATAGTAGACAGACGTCGTTTCAAAATGCACAGTTCCTGAAAATTACCAAATTACCAGCAATCGAATAAAATAACATTTCAAAGCTTTACTTGTACTGAAGCAACATTTTTCAACATCCTGATAACTTTCTATTCGATAAAAATCGTACATAACTCAAAATAACCGGTAGAAACTTTACATAAAATACTCAAATCGTGCAGAAATATCATATCAAAAACATATCAAAAGTAGTGCGGTAAAACTTTCGTCAATACAAAATTATGCGCGTTTTTCGGTAACGGAAACACAAAACTGAGCACATAAATATCAAAACTCGAAATCTTCGAAATCAGAAATAGGATTCGGAGTCCTTACTGGGAGACAAACAAATCTTCCAACTGCGTCATCTGACGAAAAGCGCTCTGCGGCCTCCGAAATCAAGCTTCTTCTTCTCTTTCCTTCTCTTTCTCTCTCCTGCTTTCTCTCTCCTCAAAATATTTCCAAAATATCTCAAATCCGATACTTATCAAGCAGGATCGTCCAGGACGATGCCCAGATTGTCCTGGGACGAACTCCTCTAGACACGGATCGTACAGACGAAAATTAATTCCAATTTGTTTCGTTCCTGGACGATGCTCTCTGTTCGGTTCGTCTCGACCCTTACAGGATCGTCCAGACGGAATTGACAGATTATTCACAATTTTCTTCAGTTCGTCCGGGACTAAAGTCAGCTCGACCGGACTAACAGCACTCAAAAAAATCAGCTTCATAGGGATTTTACATATGTGCGCAACATCAAAGGCAATGCAGGATCTTTGTCACGCCTACTACTTCAATTACCTCTCTAGAAGTATTAATGAGGTACTTTTCTCTGGTCCTACATTATGTTCACTTTTCCAGATACAAAGGTTAACAATTCTTAAGTATGTGCCTTTATTACAGAAGTAATACAGTAGTGTCTTCTTCCTTTGCAGCTAAATTTTAACTTTTAAGCCTTCAACTTTTGATGTAGGATTTATAGAATCTTTATAGTGAAGTCTGTAACTTGATGCCCTCTTAGGATGGTGGTGGATGGTTATGTGGTTGGTGATGGAAAAGATATTTTAAGGCTTGGATGAATTTGGTGTTGAAACTTATGGGCTATCAAAAGATAACTTTTTCTTGAAGGAAAAGGTGAAGTACCACAAATCAAAAGTTTGGTATATAGAGAACTAATATTAGTGTTTGAGTGGAAAAAAAGATGTTCAATGTGCTTCAAGGAGAGCAACATTAATGCCTGGTGATTGAGTGGAAAAAAAATGGCAAGCATCATAATCTACAACTCCCTTTATAACACTCCAAAACTTATGTAATTGGAGAGGCACCCAACTATCAAAAGCTCAAACTTGATGAATAGGTTTCATCATGTATGCAAAAGAGATGACAGTATCTTACCCAGTTAGGAAACATCATGAAGGGTTATATTTATTGAGAGTGTTTCCCTTATTAGTGTCTTAACGACACAAAAAAATTAAAAATCCTTGTGAAGGAAATATAGATAAATTTGTATGTTCCTGATGTAGCTGTTTGGGAAAAGGAGATTCCATATCTATTAATGATCAAGTACAAAGAATAATTGGGATGCAAGTAACAAAAAACCCTTTAATAGAATAATTGGGATGCAAGTAACAAAAAACCCCTTAATAGATTAAATGGGTCATAATCTCTCGGACTCACTACCATTCCACAAGAGGATGATCGCACCTTGATGGCATCCTTTATAATAACTAAAAAAAACTATACCAGGGTCTGATTCTCTGCTAATTCCTCTCCTTACTTTTTAACACCTTGCAAGTTATGAGATTTCTTATAGATATAGACTTTGTAGATATAAGTTTCACTTTAAATAAGCTTATCGACTCTCTACATGCCGGCTAATCTCTAATAAACTTGAAATTTTGAAAACAATATCATATTCAAATTACCATATTCAATATCATTCGCAACAAAATTTGTTTGAATAAATGACATGGTTATAACAAAGAACTTCCAAATGTTCAAAGGTGATAAATATAAACTATCCATGTCAAGATAGTATAACTATCACTGCTGATGAATTCAAACACAAGTTATCAATATCTAACTTCTGTGAAGTATTTGGCAAACACAAACAGTGAGTAAAATAGGGATTGTCATTTGAGACTTCTAGCAGAAATTTGGAACCCGAAAAACGAAATATACATTCTGGGAGCCAGTTAGTATATGTTAACAATGAATACTCACCCTCTGAAAACCTGGTTCCATGCTCTCTGACAGAACAACAACAACAGGCGATTCGCTTCCGGTAATACACATTAGCCCTTTCCATATCATAAGTGCCGAAGATAAAATAATACCTGAAAGGAAAAGCATCAAAAGAATCATAGATTAACAAAGGGAAAGGGTATAGAAGAAAAAACTCTCAAAATCAATAGTGCTGAACCAAGAAGATTATAAATTTAACACTCACTACCGCTTATGCGATCATCAACAATTTCATCGCAAAACATTACAAAAAACTATTCCTTAAGGGAAAAGAAATTGAATCAAGAACTAGGACCGAAGGGATTGAACGGACCTAAAGTGACGGCTTGCGTGAGCAGTTGCCTGATCTGAAGAGCACGGATGGACTCCAAGTTCGCCGCAATCCAACCCATTCTCTCTCTCTCTCTCTCTCTCAATCTAGCTTTTCCATGGCCGTAAACTTCTTCGCCAAAGCCTTCACGACCATCGACGACTTTCTCTTATGATTTTCTTAATGAGAGTGTTCAATCATACTTATTTGAACCTAATTTTAAAAAATATATTATTTTAATTATTAGCACAACTATTTAAAAATATATTCTTTATGTAATTATAATAATTACTAAATTTATTTCTATTTTTTATATTCTTGCTATTTTATACAAATTCAAGATGACTTAACCACTATATAATTTTAATTTTAATTTTGTTGCTTAATGCATATGGCTCCTTCTAAAGAAAACAAAATGCTATAAGAAGATTAATCTCTTTAATTTCAATCAAAATTGCTTGTTTTTTGTTTTACTTTGAGCCTATATGATTAGTGCTAAGATTTGTAAAATATTAAGATATCGTGCTTATTACATTCTTACCATTGTATTAAATGACAATTTACAAATTTATTATTATTAATTGGTCGAGTTATTTAGAGTGTCATATACATATATTTCTTAAGGGATATTTTAATCAAAAATTTTTCGTCTCTATCTTGTCGAATGATAAATTTTATACTAATTTGCATGAATTTTTTTTCTTCTACAAAAAAGCTTATTAGCTTGTTATTTGAACATACGGCTTATGAGTAATGGAAAAAACTCATTTGGTTTAAGAATCACTCATTAAAATATGGCGCATATGCTCGATAAAATTTTTGTAATAGAAAGCTGCTTTAAGATGCAGTAAGAAAGCCGTAACATACGAAGCCTTAGTGTTCTTATGCTATGTCTCTTTTATATAACTGCATTATTTAAACTAGCTTTTTTTCTAGGCTACTCTATTTCTGGAGAGATTATTACGTGTGGAGTCTGTACACAAAGAACTATTCAGTTTTGTGATTGTGAATATTAAAAAAGCTATTATTGTTCACCCATGTGCTTTCACTGCGTTTTTACTATTCACAGTCACAAAACCGAACGGTTCCCTGCATCCAATCTTCATACATAATAATCTCTCCTTTTTTTGAACCTCTTATTCATGCAAGCACCAATTATAAAAATAAATAAATAAATACCTTTTCATATTAGTTATCCATATTTGTTGCGTGCTAGAATATACGCGGCGGTAGAGTTTGTAAATATTTGTCTTAGCGTTGCACGAGTATTCCGCACACAAACAGAAAAGAAAAGTGAACACCAAAGGTTTTTATGTGGAAAACCCAAAAGATCTCCTCTCCAATAATCAAATTCATTCTCAAAAAAAAATAAAATAATAATAATTAAATTCAAATTATCCAAATTTTAATTTTAACAAATATATAGTCAAACTGAATTTCTCGATCAAACAAACCTAACAATCAAATTCAAATGAGTCCGAGTCAAACACATAAGGCATTGTTGAAAATTTTATAATATTAATTGAAAAGTCAAATGATATTTGGATCTTTTCAGCTAAATAATAGTTCTCATTAGAACAATTTATCTAAAGTACTCAAATAATTTAGATTTTATTTGTGACTACATTCAGAAAAATTATTAAGTGTGGTTTTCGGATATGTTTGGAGGCTAATTCGGACTCATCATATCACCTAATACAGGGTACATTGAATGATTTAGCGCGTCTGAATTGACCTCCGGATGCATCCGAACTCTATACATAATAATCCTCATATTTTCAAGGCTACCCTTAGTCATAACATGTCCGCTACACAATCAACTATAATCACCTATATTGGGTGACTAAAGCGTCTGAATTGACTATCTTTCTTGCAAATCGAGCTCATTTTATTTTTCGAGTTAATATTATTTTACTGACAGCTTAAAATTAGATTTGCGTCAACTCAGTAGTAAATAGATTAAAACTCGAACTTCCAGAGCGCGAGACCCACATGAATAAATAAGTTTGATTGCATCGTGATTCGTGAGATCCTTCAGATTTTGATATTAGAAATCCACATGGCCTATTTTTCAGTTGTTAATTATCTATATAATAATTTCTTTAGTTGAAGCTGTTTGTATAGCTTCAATTTCATCATAGATAGAGTGTAATTAGATTTCATTAGTTGTGATGATTTTTTTTACTATTTTTAAAGTATTTTTTTAATGTTTTTATTAAAAAATTATTTTAAAAAACAGTAAAAAAAATTGCGCAAATGAAACATTAATGTGATGATATATTTATATTTTTATAAGGAATAATAATCACAATGGTCTTACGGTCAAATCGTCTATTTCAGAGTGGGAGCAACCTCATAATCGTGGGATTCTTTGTTCTATATGAAAAGTGGCAAATTTTTCGGTTGAACTAGTTCGATTAAATTTGACCGTGTTAGTTCAGTGAGTCACGGGTCCTCTAAGGGTATGTAGCAGCGTTTATAAAATTAATTGTGAAATTGATATGAAAAAAAAAATAACTTAGCTTTCTACCGCATTAATTTTAAAAAAGCATTAAGAAAACATCAATAAACGAAGCAGCCAGAAAGTTGTCAAAAACAGACCGTAAGTCTTGATGTCAGTGTGTGCGACATCGTAGTATTGTCGTCTTTTATGCGAATTTGAACAAATTAAATAAACTTTGTGCTTTTTTCTACCATTCAAAATGATTTTAACAATTGGTGTCAAAATTTCAATATAATCAAATACAAATTTTAATAATATCAACAATGAATATTTTAACAATTTTGGAGACAACCCTAATAATTAATTAATTATAAGAGAAAAAAAAAAAGACATGCACACTTTTCATCTCAATCATCTTATAAAATATTAAAAGATAAAGATTGCTCAATGAAACAGATACTTTATTTAATTTCTAAAACGATAATGCACCATCAATTCTAAATTAAAATATTCTTCTAGCCGTTAGATTCTAAAGTTTAAAAAATATATATATTCTTTTGTGCTTCTCTTTACGTTACAGATGGCCTTTCTCTAAATCAGCAAGTGTGAGAGACTTTTTCCATGACAATATATGTAAAAGTGGTTTTTTTTTTTTAAAGAATTTTTTTACTATTTTTTAAAATAAATTTGTTGTACAAAATTTTTAAATTTCAATATTCCTTTTACAAAAAATATACTTTAAAAAGTAATAAAAAAATTTATCCAAATAAAATTTTATTTATTTTTATATGGTTGAATGTGATTGAATAGGCTACTCACCATTAAAGACCAATAATAGATAATGATTAATTAAATGAATAAATAAAATTCAGAATTTGTCTTTTTTTATTTTATATTTTTATGTCATGTATATCATAATATTTTTAATTAACTAAAAATTTAATCATAGAATTAAATTTATAAAGAGAATTATCATAACTATTTATGTAATGATTTAGTTTTATTTATCCCTTAAATTTAATTATTTAATAATTCAACTATATCACACATAAAATCATTAAGATATATGTTAAATTTGTATATCTTAACATAAAAAGTATTGAAATAATTTTATTTTTTTGTATGAAATATATACGAAGAAATAGGAAAAGGGAAGGGAATTGCTTTTTTTTATTATTTGCTCCATTTTGGCTTTTCATATAAGCTTCTTGTAGGAAAAAGATAATTCAGTAGGGTATGGGCACTCAACTATCAAATTTAATGCTTTAATTCTCGTGAGGACTTTAAACATAGTTTAATGATAGTGATTGGACATACACAAATTTTATTTCTTTGTTGTATGCCATTGTTGTTTACCACTTGGCACATAAAATTCTATGCTTTTGATATATGTATCTTAAAACTTGTTGAGGTAGATTATAATTATTCTCTTTAATTTTCATGTTGTAATATATTGATTGATGAAGAGCAACATTGACAATTGATGAAGTTTTCATAAAATGTTTTTTTTAGGTGTTTCAAATATAGATATATTTCAAGCATAATTGTTGATATATCATCTAAGAATTATCTTAATCTGGCACGAATCTAGATGCGAATATGAGTCAGAAGCTTTAAATATTAAAATCGGGACCATCCAAATTCTGATTTCAGCAAGCATACAGTCAAATTGAACATCTCAAGGAGATGAACCTAACAACATCAAATTGGTTTTAATTCAAGCCCAAATGGGTCCAAATCAAATGGCCAAAGCCTATTTGGAAGCTTTACATCATTATTTGGATAATCAAATAATATTCAAATATGACATGTTGATAGTCGAATTGAGCGGCTCGATGAGACGAATCCAACGAGCCCAAAATCGCTCGATTCTAACATTTTCTTAGGCATTTAATCACTCGATAAATGTCTCATAATCAAGGAAATCACTATGAGTTGTATGATAGAATACTCTCAATATACCCTTGATCTTCTCCGTATGGAGAGAAGAGGAAGAAGAGAAAAGATTTGATACATGAGAAATCCTAGAGCTCCACCCGACACCATCGCCGACAAATTTGCACCCTCAAGCTGTCGCTACTGAATCTCCTCTAGACCCCTGTCATCAAACCTCCATATTACAATCATTGATGGTCCTTCTCACCACCATTGTCCAACTACAACCCTTACAATCATCATCACCCCACTATAGTCCTCCCGACCATTATCACCCGCAAATACGACCCTTTTGACCACAGTCGTCCTCCAATTGCGGTCTTTCCGATCACTATTATCTGCCAACTACGGACCTTCCAACCACCATCATTTGACCACACTCCTTCCGACCAACGTCGTCCGTTGACTATAACTCCTCTGATCATCGTCGCCCGATTAAGGTCCTTCCAACCTCCGCCACCTGTCGACTACTATCTATCTGACCATCATCATCCAATCATGGATCTGCCAACCAAACAAACAAAACAAAGTTCTCTTGAGAACAATTATCATGTCATTTTCCAACTATGTAACATGCTCTATATGAAGTATATTTGTTATATTGAGCCAACGTCTTAAGCAAGGACATCATTTGTAATCAATTATAAATAATAGTGTATTTATTCAAATTTTGCAAGACCACATGATTTTTTCCCCTTGGTTTCTACGTAAAAATTATATTGTTCCTTA